TGCATGCAAGTTGCAAAACGTGTGGTGATAAAAGCTGTACTTTCAAAGAGGAAATAACACTCAACTTTTACTAAATTAGTATTCCATGGGAATGTTTCCATTGGGAAACTAAGGACACGTTGCTAATTTGCTCATGCTCAGGGTAAAACTTGCTGGCAAACACAATAAATAACACTTCCCTGTGCACTAAGGAAAAACAAACCTAATCTAGGGTAAATTCAGAGGCTCAGATCTCGCTAGACAAAAACATTGCAACTTATTTGTCATTCAAATTATGTCTCATTTGAGGTGTACTTTATCATGAGTGTGTGAGCCTGCAGGGTTAAAATATATGTCTGTGTGAGAATGTAACATTTATGATAATATTTATATTTCTACACATTTAATATTTATTTTACTATTCATTTTTAATTCATTTATTTATTATTTTACTTATAATACAAAACAAATGTGCACCCTAAATGTAATGTATGTCAATCCGAATTAATCTGATTTCAGATTCTGAAAGTTTTGTTTATAGGTTTATATGGTTAGGTTTTGTTTGTTTATTTGTTCTCTGAAGGGTTCAGTTCAGTTCATTTAGTGAATGGTTTATCAAACTGATTCATACAGATAGCTTGTGAGTATGTGAGGCTGATTCGGTAACGCTTCCTTTTACAGTACAGTACTTACAGTGTACTTACCTAGAAAGTACTGGCTAATATAAGGTAAGTACATGGGTCAGGGGTAGGTTTAGGGGTAGGTTCAGGGTTAGTACAGGGATGCACCGATACCACTTTTTAAGGATCGAGTACGAGTACCGATATTTTTTTCCTGGTGCTCGCCGATACCGATGCCTGTTGTACTGGGGTGGGGGGTTCTTGTTTTATGTGGCAATTTTCTAAGAACAACACAATGAGACTTTATTCAGCATCTTTATTTTAACAACTTAAAAAAAACGTAAAAAAAATCAATCATTCTCTTGTGCTTATCACAAATTTTCAAAGCCCAAATTTCACAGTGTCCAATAACCTCCAAAGGACAAAACCAAGGACATAATGAATGTAATATTTACCTGCCTGTCACAAAGTTGTCAAAGTGCTAAAGAAATCACAGACATCAAATTTGTCATAAAGTGCCAAAGAAATCACAGAACAAATGTTTATAACATAACACTGAGTAACAATGTAATCACAGCCGAAAGTGTAAAGTGAAATATTAGAGTGTACTATTAAATCTAGCTACACTAGATTTACGTTCTGTCAGTTACGTCACGTGAGGTATCGGTCTTTGGTATCGGGGTATTTTTACGAGTACGAGTACAAGTACATGAGCTTGGTATCGGGCCCGATACCGATACTGGTATCGGTATCGGTGCATCCCTAGTTAGTACCTAGTTATTACCCAGTAATTGTAATTACTATAATAAGTACCTAGTATGTACATGGGTAACAGGACTGTAAAAGGAAGCGTTACCGCTGATTCATTAAAAGAACTAGCTCTTAAAGGGTTAGTTCACCCAAAAATGAAAATTAAGTCATTAATTACTCACCCCCATGCTGTACCAACCCCGTAAGACCTTCGTTCATCTTCGGAACACAAATGAAGATATTTTTGATTAAATCTGAGAGGTGGATCACTGCTACATAGGCTGCCAAAGGGAATGATACTTGACGGCCCAGAAAGTCATTAAAGAAAATGTTTAAATATTTCATGTGCCTACAGTGGCTCCACTATAAGTTTATCAAGCGACGAGAATACTTTTTGTGCGGGAAAAACAACAAAAATAACGACTTTATTCGACTATTCCATTGCTTCCTTGTGGGCCTGAGACGAGAGTTCAAGAGATTTCCAGGACGCATGCGCGAGAACTGACATTCTTCTTCTACTACTATGTACAGCACGCGTCTTCCTCTGCTTGTAAGACGCGCGCTGTGTAGTGTGTAGTAGAAGAAGAACGTCAGTTCTCGCGCATGCGTCCTGGAAATCTCTTGAACTCTCGTCTCAGGCCCACAAGGAAGCAATGGAATAGTCGAATAAAGTCGTTATTTTTGTTTTGTTTTCCGCACAAAAAGTATTCTCGTCGCTTGATAAACTTATAGTGGAGCCATTGTAGGCACATGAAATATTTAAACATTTTCTTTAATGACTTTCTGGGCCGTCAAGTATCATTCCCTTTGGCAGCCTATGTAGCAGTGATCCAGCTCTCAGATTTAATAAAAAAATATCTTCATTTGTGTTCCGAAGATGAACGAAGGTCTTACGGGGTTGGTACAGCATGGGGGTGAGTAATTAATGACTTAATTTTCATTTTTGGGTGAACTGACCCTTTAAGAGTCATTGGTTCATGAATTTGTGAAGAGAACAATGGAAAGTCATGTTGTCTTGGCATTATTTTTCTCACATTCAATTCACATTATCACATTCAATCAGACATGCTTTTTTACTGAGGTGAAGAAATGGATTCAAAAAGGTGCAGTGAACACTGCAATGTTTAGATAGCACCACAGTGTTTTTAAGGGAAATAGACATAAAAATTGTTATAATTGTTTCTGCATAGAATGCTGTAAAATCGAAAAATTACACACTTAATATTTAAAAGAGAAATCTTACTCAAATTCTTCCTGAACCTCATTTGTTTTGACTGCATACTCATAAAACCATTCTCACACTTTGACGGGTTGAAGCTCTTCATTACACAAGAAAATGTTCTCTAAAAAGTGTGTGCTTTGCTTCCTTTTAGCCTGTAACAGCAGGAAGTAATCAGTGGCCAGTGTTCATCAGTTCTCGGACAAAGGCAATCAGGTTACCATGGGACAGCATTCGATGAAGGCCATCAGACCAAACTATAACCATTCTTGAGTCCAAATCCCATGCCAAAACCCAATCCCATAAGACCCAATAAAGAACAGAACCAAACACCGGCATTGGAAACAAACCACTCAAGTACCGGATCAGTAAAATCTTCAAATCAAGCAATAGCAATCCATTATTGACAGCAATGATTATGATTAGATTATATGTCCTGCTGGACATGGCTCCAAAGAAGGATTTCACATATGCTTATATGGTGAGGATCATAATGTCATTACATTACAGCATCAATTTTTGTAGATACTGTATGGAAACAGACATTGAAGCATGTGACGCTGACAGGGCTCATGCTTTCTCCTAAAATTCAATTGGAATTTCTTAAATAATCTCACGTCCAAGAAATGCAAGACATTGGTGTCGTGTGAAGGATATTTACATACAGTATGCATATGCAAGACAACTTCAACCATTTATGTGATTTGTAAAATTTGAATATCTATTTTAATTGGATGACACCTGCAGATCAGTCTTAATTAAAAAAAAAATTTCCCTTGTCCTGATAATCATTCCAAATGAATTTAAAATGCATTCAAAGCCTTATGTAAATGTCTTGCCTATGTAAATGACACATGGCTCTTAAAGAATATGGCACACATATATGCATCCTCATGAAAGACCTTTGCAAATTAAAGGAGCAGTTCACCAGAACATGATATTTCTGCTGTAATTTACTTGAGCCATTTAAAACCCATTTGATTTTCTATTTTCAGTTAAACAAAAAACAAGATATTTTACAAAATACAAATGATGCACCACTGTCACTATGAATCTCCAAAAAAGTACCATAAAAGTAGTAGTTGTAATCTACTTCCATTTATAGAATTGTGTGGGGGAAAAGGCAGAAATTGATTGTTATTCACTGAAAATCTTCCCTGGCATTGCACCAGCCCAATATGGTTTATCTTTTCTTGCATGTAAATACCCTGAATGTTACCCAGATGGAGTTCTGATGACATGTGAAATAAGTTCAAATAATGTATAATCCATGATATAAAATAAACATATCATGTGCTTGAAATGTCCGCTTGAGTTGCTTGTGGCAGCATGTCTCTCTGGATCTATGTGAAAGCTGTCATACATCACAAATGTTTGACACTATTCTGCTGGGGACAGTTATTAACATCACAAATATGCATCACATATCAAGCATGTTAATGTCAAACGGCATTTATTGTATCTTGACTAATTGAGGGATAGATTTCTGGTAATTACCAACTTCAATTGCCATCTGTTCTACAAGTTACTTTATGGTATGGGTCCAGAAGACTTGTTGTTATTATTGCACAAAGCCAAATGGACACTTTTATTGTGCTTTATGGTGCATATACCAGTATGCTTTTGTTGTATGGACAGGAGCAGCTCGCCTTGGACTAGGGTTTGTAAATTACAGAATTTTTATTTCATGTGAACTGCTCATTTCACGTCAGTACACCTGGTTTAATTGTGCAATTTCATTTTTAATTAAATCATGTGGAGCATAAAGGTGCATTTATTTAGCACGTTCACATTTGACTGAAATTCTCAGAAGCAAATGGATTTACAGTCTGTGAAAAGAGTCTGGCAGCCACAGTTATTAAAGCACAACAACATTGGCTTGCCTGAGAATGTCAGAATGTCATTATGCTGTTCTCTCGTTTTCCTCTGTCAAGGGCAGCAAACGCGGGATACAGTGTCAGCAATATCATTATGAACATTATTCTGTCTGTGTCACTGTCTGCTGGGGTCGGTGGCTGAGCTCTGGGTCAATAGATTTGGCTAATGCACAGCAGAAAAGTGATAAGCCCGGTGAATTGAACAACAGTAGCCTATCAACTTTATAACACGGCGATCATGCACGCGCATGCACGAGTTTCACCAATACACCTGCCATTCTATTCAGTACATGAACATGTTTTACAACAAACATATTAGAAAATGAATGTTTCCTTTTGATTGTTATCTATTCTATAGCACAAGTGAAATATAGCATGACAATTATAGAATAAATGTGACGCGTAAAACATCTGTTTTGTAAACAGCACGCAACAGATCTCAAGCGAACTACTTATTATGCTTCTGCTATCTTTAAAACATTCATATAGACAAAAGTCATGAACCATGTATGCACCGCAACAATGATCCATTTAAAGAAAGAGAAATTAACTTACAAGGAAGGTTGATTTTGTAGTTATTCCCCGCAAACCTGAACCCGTCCAGTCGCATCTGCAGCATATAGCGCGCGCGTGTGCCTTCCCCTCAGCGCGCACTCGAGCCGCTTAAAAAGTTTAATGACGTCAGCCGGGCATTTAAAACGCCGCTTTTTTAACAGGAATGTACGACTTTCTGTCTTAATTAAAGGGACCGCGCACCTTTGAGACCCATCACTGAATTAGTGTACTACATATAATCAACTGTTGAACATAGCTCACTCAAAAATTACAATTTTGTCATCGTTTGCTCACCTCGTGTAGTTTCTTTCTTCTGTGTAAACACAAAAGTAGACCTCAGGGGCTGTTCAATCAAACTGGGCTTTCTGTGGTGTCTTAGAACTTAGAAGCAGTGCTGGGGAAAGTTACTTTTAAAAATAATGCATTACAATATTGTTTTACTCCCTAAAAAGTAACTAAATGAATACCTTAATGGAAGGTAATGTGTTGTGTTACTTTTGCATTACTTTTTCTCACCTGGGTTGGGCTTGCTTTTTATTTTTTTTCAATAAAAAATAAAAGGGTTTCTCTTTTTATTATGATATCATTGGACAGTGTGCAATAATTCCCATAACGATTGTCACTGTGCTGCGTGAAGTGGATCACGACGTGTAAGGGGAATGGGGATTGACCAATTTCTGGTGTGAATTTCTACTTATTTATGTGTGAGTATTGTGTGCATTGTATTCTAACATTTATGGGGTTTATCACTTGCCTTGCCCGTGTGTACTTCATTATGCCTTTTAATATGTCCTGTTTGAAGAAAGTATTATTTATACTGGTGTATTGGTGTGCAACAAGGATAAATAAACTGTTACAGATTATTTATTTTTTACACCAGTGTCCACCTTTGTCCTTTAATTAGGATATAGTGTAATTCTTGTATTGGCCTCTAGCACATCTAAATATTATTTTAGTTGTTTGATATTGATAGCCCAACTGTATACCTGTAAATGGTTAGGGGTGTTTAGAAGGTGCTCAGAAGGCCACACTTGAATATAGTGTCCAAAGCTGTGGTATAATGCTGCACAATTTAGCTGCAGATGTAGTTTAATAAATGATATGCTACTAACCAATATTTAAACAAAAAAGGATTAAATGAGGAAAAAATGATATTAAGAAGTATTAAAAGTTTTAGTTCAACAACGATAGGCATGCAACATATGTTGGTAGGTTTTAAAACAACCATATATGGACTGACTTTTAAAGTTCCTAACCATGTTTCTTCTACATGTGATACTTAAACAGCCAGTAAATGTAGAATTGTTTTTAATCCATATACGTGCCAGAGGATGAGGAAGACGGATGAAGACTGGATACAAATATAAACATGATTAAATAAAACAAAGCAGCAGACAGGCATAACAGTGTGCATATATACAACAACAACCTGATGCCCTGTCCCAAATGGAACCCTAAGCACTCGCGGTCTTCCTCTGAGTCCGCACTTTCGCGACGTAACGCCGCTTTGAATGTCGGGAAGAAGTCTGCTGTGGAGTCCGCATCAGCGCGGGCTCGGCAAAAGTGCGCATCAAGGGCGCAAATCGACCGCAGAGGGGGGCGCTCGCGAGCACCCTTCTGAGATCTAAAAATGACAAATGGGACACACTACGGTCTCACGGACTTAACGGACACGCGCACGCGGCAGCCATTGTAAGTCCACAAGACCGAAAGTGCACATGAAGTGTGCCATTTGGGACAGGGCCAAAGACTGAAAACAAAGGCACTAAATACACAGAGATGATGAAATGAATTTGAACAGGTGTGATGAATAGATGAGTGTGTGCAGGTGTGAGCCTGGAGGGATTATGGGAAATGTAGTGTGAGGTGACCAGTCAGGTGACTGAGGATTGTGACAATAAGAAATGTAGACTGTAATTTATACTGTCGGCCTCCAAAAAGGAAGCACTATAAAAATATCATAAAAATAGTCCAAATTATTTGTGTATTCTACAGTAAGTATAAGTCACCATCAAGAGCAGCTTTGATATTCTGCCTAGTATCTCCTGTTGCATTTCATAAAATGTAAATAATATGAGGTTCAAAATGACGTAAGGAAGAAGTTTACGATGATATATTTGGTTGATATATTCTTTGAATATTACACCATTCAAAAAATTTAAATTTATGCAACATTAAAGGGTTAGTTCACCCAAAAATGAAAATTATGTCATTAATGACTCACCCTCATGTCGTTCCAAGCCTGTAAGACCCTCCGTTCATCTTCGGAACACAGTTGATATTTGATAACCTGTAATTTGTAATTTGATAATTTGTAATTTGATAATTTGATAACCGGAACCAGTTGTTAAGATATTTTAGATTTAGTCCGAGAGTTTTCTGTCCCTCCATTGAAAATGTATTCACGGTATACTGTCCTTGTCCAGAAAGGAAATACAGACATCATCAAAGTAGTCCATGTGACATCAGTGGGTTAGTTAGAATGTTTTGAAGCATTGAAAATACATTTTGGTCCAAAAATAACAAAAACTGCGACTTTATTCAGCATTGTATTGTCTTCCGGTTCTGTTGTGGATCCGCGTTCAGTGACGCTGCTGACGTGTTATCAGTGCGCCCGAGCTTCGTTTACAGTCTGAGGGAGACGCACGCTGTAAACAAAACAATCTACGCAAACATGTCTAAGGATTTCGACACAGAGGAAGACTTGCATTTTTTTGCCCAGCCATATTTATTTGAACCCGAATACACGGACGCACCAGATACACTTCAGCAGCGTCCTACGTCAGCAGCGTCACTGAAGCGGATTGACAACAGAACCGGAAGACAATACAATGCTGAATAAAGTCGTAGTTTTTGTTATTTTTGGACCAAAGTGTATTTTCAATGCTTCAAAACATTCTAACTAACCCACTGATGGACAAGGACAGTATACCGTGTATACATTTTCAATGGAGGGACAGAAAACTCTCGGACTAAATCTAAAATATCTTAAAGGCACACTATGCAAGAATTGTACCTTAATATAACAGCTTCAAAGTCATTTCGGTGGTAAACAAACTCATAGTAGGGCGAATCATCCCGGTAGTAAAGCTTGGGGGGGGGGGGGGGGGACGCCGCTGGAAAAACCAGCAATGCAAGTCTGAGAGGAGTGCCCCCGACAAATTTCCCGAGAATCACGACATGCTTTACGGCAACGACGTCACACACATCAACAACAACATATGAAGCACGAAGACACTTGCGTGCATTTCAGACGTGATACTCGACGATGGAAAAAGCAAAGAAAACGCGGTCGGAAGAGACTAGGAAAAGGAAAAGAGAATCTGACCGCGTGAGGAACCGGACAAGAGTCCCGCTCGGTCGGGCTTTTCACTTGTTGGCGCGAGCTAAAAAGCACCACTGGATGCAACAGTGATGCTGACCTGGCGATCTTGTTGATGGACTAAGTAAATCTTTCTAAGTTTGTGTGCATTTTATTTTGTGATTTCACCGGAATGAATAGAGAGTCTCCGCAACGGCGATAGATTGAAGAGCGCGTCCGAATGAAGACTGCGCGCGCGCCGCCACAACAGACACTATGTATCCATGACACTGATAGCAGTGGACACGAGCACTCAGGTTGAGTTCAAAAACACATCTCTTATTTAAAGGCACACTGCAAGATTTGTACCTTAATATAACAGCTTTGAAGGGGTATCAGGCCGTGAGTGCAGAGACATTATCAGAGAGTGCGTGAGTGGTATTTACGACAGTAACGTTAAATAAAAGTACTCCACAGCGACTCTAGGGGTCGCTGTTTGACAAAAACGGAATTCCTGCATAGTGTGCCTTTAAACTGTGTTCCGAAGATGAACGGAGGTCTTACGGGCTTGGAACGACATGAGGGTGAGTCATTAATGACATAATTTTCATTTTTGGGTGAACTAACCCTTTAAACTAAGTGACTATAATAAAAACGTCAGGAGACTGTACAATTATTTGATTGTTTTTGTTTGTTGGAGGACTAATTTGCATGTACTGTCACAGAAATCACCAGCCCTGAACATTTTCTGAGCACAAATTCCTGAGACTTTACTTAAAATCCAAAACACAACATCACCTTTGGTTAAAGGGATAGTTCACTTTGAAATTAATTTTTGATATGTTTTAGCTTACCTCAAGGGCATCCAAGATGTAGGTGTCTTTGTTTACACAGTATTTTCAATTTTGATATTTTTAGGTCAAGCCGTTCTTGTCTGTCAGTCATATAATGCAGGTATATGGGGTCCACCTCAAAGAGCATGCACAGAGAAGTCCAAATTAAACATGCTTTAATGACTCGTAAATGTAAGTACACATTGATGGCCTAAGACACGAAACGAGCGGTTTGTGTGAGAAAATGAACAGTATTTATATCGTATTTACCTCTTGTAATCACAGTCACGTCCAAGTACTCTGCGGGTGCTTCTGTCTGCGCAAGCGCCGGAAAGCCCCGGAACGTTGTCTGTTGATATACCGAAATCGTCTTCCATTGCGATTTCCTGTATATCTAAATATGTTTAGATCTTCACAGTGAAAGGTAAAACTTCCGAAATCTCTGTGTAAACAATGAGTGACGTACACGCTCGAGAGATCACTTCCGGCGCTCTCCGGCGCTTGCCGGCGCTTGCGCAGGCCGAAGCGCCCGCGCCCTCAGAGTACTTGGACGTGACTGTGATTACAAGAGCTAAAAACGATATAAATACTGTTCGTTTTCTCACACAAACCGCTCGTTTCGTGTCTTAGGCCATCAATGTGTACTTACATTTACGAGTCATTAAATCATGTTTAATTTGGGCTTCTCTGTGCATGCTTTTTGAGGTGGTGACCATAGACCTGCATTATATGACTGACAGACAAGAACGGTTTGACCTAAAAATATCAAAATTGAAAATAGTGTGGAAACAAAGACACCTACATCTTGGATGCCCTTGAGGTAAGGTAAAACATATCAAAAATTTATTTCAAAGTGAACTATCCCTTTAAATATAACTGCTCAAATTATTATTAGCCCAAACAATGACTCTCATTCACTGAGCTTATTAGAAGGACTGCCACTTATTAGAGTGCATCTACCTTTG